GATACATTTTTCATCAATCATCTTACTTAAGGTGTACTTTTATTTTATGTATTTAATATAATGTCATCTTCGACGTTATACATTTACGTCGGATAATTTAATCTTAGTCACTAAAATAAAATATAACAGCCAAATTTCTTTTACCCTTTCGTCGTCCTAGTTTAGTCCAGTGAAAAGGAAAAAAGATAAAGTTAAAGTATAAGTATAAATATACGAAAAGAAAAAGAATTTGTCACTTATTGTCCTTATGTATTAAAATGCTCAGTCCTAATTTTCATCTGCACTGCATATTCGTATTTCAGTTGTACATGAACCTTGTGCTGGCACAAGGTGGTACAAAGTTAAAAAAATATTGTCGACTTATTGTATGTTTCCACAAAAGGAAAGACAAATATATCTTCTCAAGAAAATTTGTCCTTTCATGAGCACATCTAACTCTTTGATTTAATTTTGTTACTATTATTCCGATCAATGAATTTAGGTACATGAAAGATTAAACTATGTACTGTCATAGAACAGTTCACCATTTTCAAATTCTTTTGTCAATATTTTCAATTTTGCAACATGTATATGTTGAGTAGAAGATACAGCTCGTAATACCGCGGAATGAAGTTGTCTTGAGTTTCGTCAATTGGCTGATTTATCAGCTCAAAGCTAAAAACTCGGCGTCCTTGTTGTTCCATTCCAAACAGTCATCGTCAAACAGTGATAATTACTCTCGCAGAGAGGTTCTGATACAAGTCAAGCCCGTGTTGCATAGTCATTTGTTCTTTTTATTATTTCACCATCAGCTGTTATCGTTTTTCGGTATAAATCCATTGTTTTTCAGCGGTTCTAGATATATCAAAAAAATTAGCACCCTCCATTTCCCCAGGATTTTTTCAATCAGACTAAAGCCTTGGGCACATTAAAAAGTACACATCCAGTAAATCCAATAGTACCCGTTCTTATCAGATAAAAGAAGAGAGTTCTGTTATTCATCTGGAACCTCTGCTAGTAGCTCTTATTTCTAATCAATACAATTTAAAGTTCACAGCTGTCTTCCTATTTGTACACTTATTTTTTATGTTTTTGAGCTAATTTTTTCCTAAAGTACATTCATTTCCGATACCTTGTTGAAATATTGACAGCATTAATGAACAACAAAGACTTTTTCTCGAATAAATGGCCTATGAAGACTTTTCGATGCCATATTTTTACCAAAGCGCCTGGAGAATAGCTGGGCACATCTGACTTCTAGACTGATCAATACCGGGCTTTCAGATAATTTTTGAGCGTATCAGGGTTTCTAGAAAGCTGAAATTATCTGCGATTTTTTTATAGAAACAGTAGTTTCCAATGATTGCAGTAAGAAGAAAAATAAAATGGATGTAGTCCTCTGGAATTTTTTGCTTTTGTTTTTCATTATAAAATGAGTTGAAGCAAAGTTTTCGTTGAAGATGTATAGGTCTTTAGACTGATTTGAACCCATCGGCACCGATCAAAAGAAAAGCAAAACTAACCCACATTATGTTGAAAATGTGATTCAGTTCTGAAACTAGAACATTACCTTCGTTTGTAGCATCCGGCGGACTGGTTTAATTCGCAGAAAACAGGACGTTCAGCACCTCTGCTGCTCCGACTCGTCTGTTAATTAAGCCGAATGATCGAAACGACTCAGTCGGCTTATTGCGTTTCACTCCGAGCGTTGCCTAGCAAAAAGCTTCTTTCTTTCTTTCCATTCCGTTTTTCTAGTTCGGATCAGCTACTCGTTCTAGGTTATAGTTGATCGTAGAGATTCAGGAAAAAGATCAGTCGAATCTACAATACTTGTAGGTGACACATCTGAAGTTAATTTTTCGATGTATAGTTTAGTTTACCTACAATTACTCTTAAATTAACACCACTGTAGAATTCTTCTGATTTACTAGGTAATAAACCAAATACGTATGGTGCCATGATGCCTGGATACCTATATATTTAGAGATTTGACTCTTGAAAGATATACTGAACAGTTACCGTTACTTGTAACTGGTCGTTACCGTTACTTGTACGGTAACTGCTTGCACGTTACCGTTACAAAGAACGGTAACAGACCAGCAATTACAGTTACTGTAACGATAATGGTAACTGTCACAGCCCTAAACGAAGCATGCCAAAGAGATCGATAATGAACAGTGTGTTATATATAGAACAATCTATTCTACTATACCGCTCAAAATACTCAACTGCACCACAGTCTGATCACTACTTTAGCTAATAATACACTACCATCAGCATCACCTCTCGAATACACAGTTTTCGGCCAACACGTTTCCACCACTACAGATGTGGCGTAGAAACATGTATTTTGCGGTGCATAATTACCTGTTACTGTAGATGATGAAATTTGGACAATTTAGTCCAAAAGTAAATTCTTTGCATTTGAATTCAAAGTTCAAGTGTTCAATTCTATCAACTGTGTAGTGTTCTTTTGTGCTTTGCTTCTTTCTGTTCTATCCTTATCTCTCTCAATCAATCGACTCGCTTAATCCAGTGGTACCACTACTGGTGCTTTGTTGGAGTGCTTTAACAAAATAAATGACATTAAAGTGGGACCTTCAAAACTTTCATCCGACTCACATGTTACTGCCACCGCAATCACCGCTGTCAATCACAGATGTTGCACGCGCAAATGTCCCAGGCGCCGAAGTCGCAGCCACAGCTGTCGTAGTCGTAGTGTTCGCAGGCGCATAACTCGCTCAAAGCCCAACAAAGGTATAGATGCTGGAGCCGTTCCACTTAATGCAGTGGTATTACTACTGGTGCTTTGTTCTTACGCTTTAACAAAACAAAAGAAATGACATTCGTTCGCTATCTTAACCGTATTATCATTCTAATCGAATTTCGAGATGACTAAAAATGTTTTTAGGATGATGTTAGATGATTCAACTGGATAGCCTCCTCAGACCCACAGGAGATGGTAGCTGTGGATGAGAATAAGTGGAGAATGAGAGAAATGTAAGTATATGGGGAGAAGAGAGACGAATATGAAGATCAATGACAGAGAGAGGGACACGACCAAACAGGGTTCTGACAACCAGACGAACAAGCACAACAGAAGCTCTGTTGTGCGAATGCGTCTGAATGCGTTCGTAGGCGTTCTTTTATTCAGAATGCGTCATTGGTAGATAAAACGTGTTCCATTTTTCTGGACCACTCTTTTCTATAAACTAACTTATAACCTTTCATTCATAAGCTAGGCATGGTCAAACTACCGGCGTACCATCGTCGTATAAATCGTCGATAAGGCGTGACGGAATCAGTACAATCATATTATTATAACACTTTGTATTTATGCAAGAGATTTAATCACGATATGACGGAATTCTAACGAATAGTACATTTATTACGTGGATTAAAACCATCGATACGATAACATTTTATTATTAATAACCCCAAGAAATTTACAGATTTATTAGAACACGCAAAACGAGTAGTCGCTACAACACTCACTCAACCAACAGTTGCAACAACGACGGACACAACGGAAGAAAACAGCACAGCTGCTCTTCAAAATTTTCGTCCAGATGGTTATTATAATCGAAATAGTCCCCGTTATGATAGCAGATGGCCACTACAACAAAATCCTGTTAGTTATCCGCAGCCTCCAGTTCAACGACAACCAGGCACGTCATCCAGTCATAGTTGTCATGGTTATGGACATTATTCAATGGACAATATATCAATGTCCAGGTCGTTTAAACGAGTAATGGTGTCGCATGATGGTAGCGCTACCACTAGCGCTGTGACAGTTAACAGTTACCGTTACCATCGTTGTCCGTTACTAGAGGTAACGGTAACTGATATAAAATTAATAAGCATCGTTCCTCGTTACTGGAGGGTAAAGGATTTCTTACTGTATATCAATTACC